TTGCATGTGGCTTTCCAATGATCCCATTACCATTTATTGAAGAGGCCTTCTTTTCTCCATTGTGTGTTTTTGGCGCCTAAAAGGAGCCTTTAAGTACAAGTAAATTTGTTTAGAAATTTTTTTGAGGAATCTGACCATATTTTAGTTTATCTTTTTGGTGAGTCCAGATTTTTCATGTATCATGATACTGAGATATGCAATTTAATTTTGTGCACATCACAGCAATATAAGATTTCTATTAATCCAGAACAAACAGGTGAATCAAGTAATTTTATCTTAAGTTAAAATAACTTACTTAAAATTTTAGATGGTTTTCTTCTAATGACTTATAATTAAGAACATTTTTGTTTCACTTATATTAGTAATTTGAATTTGTACAGATGTCAAGAGATAAGTATAGTTCTTAAAAATGCTGAAAAATTAAAAACTAAGATTATGAATACATTCAAAGCATTATTCTTGTGAAAGCTTAATGCATTATAATTTGGGAGCTTAAAATTAAAACCAGTTTTAAATAAGAAATTGTTTAAATTGTACTTTGACATTCTGTGATGTTATGAATAAGTACTATTCAAATAAATTTCAAGTTTAAATAGCTTAACTTTTATAGTAATTAGTGAGATATTTTATTTATACATTTTGTTAACATATATTAGCATATTTATGTTCTAAAACCTGATTATAATGCTATCCTGGGGGTGTGGGGCGGGGAGGAATTTCAGAGAAATTTTGTTACAGCTTCCACATTTTTTTCCCTTTGGCTCTAAGTACTTTAAAATCTATGAGATTCCCATTGATTTTATTAGCAACTTTAGAAAATCATGTATTTGAAAAACCACTTTTTCAAATGATTGATTATAAATAAATGAATTATTAGTAATGAGTATACTATAAGTACTAGTGGTAATAAAGTAGGAAAGTAATACATTCAAATTTTTAAAAAGATTTCTTGCTTCCCTGAAAGACTTATTTATATCTAATTGCACATAATTTGTTTAATAATTTATTTCTCAAAAGTTATGAGATGTAGAAAAATTTACAAAAATGCTTCTTCATAGTAAGATAAATTTTCATTTTCAGAAAACCCTTATTTTCTATTGTAACTTACTATTTCTAAGTAAATATGTATTTTACAAGTGTAAGCTTACTTTACAGGGTCTTTGGAAGTTGATAAAGGGGTATGCTATACCTAAAATTAATTGTTGATTATTTATTATGTAATTAGCTATTTTGTGAATTATAGGCCATTTACTTCTTTTGTAGTTTTCATGTTTTGACTTATGTTCTAATTTAAAAAGAACTGTTGCTACTACTTGCTATTCAAGTTAAATCTATTTAATAAATAGGTATTTAATAATTGAAATGATGTTTGAATCTTGGTTAATTTTTACTTTAAAATTGCTTAGTGGCTATATTAGAATTAGTTCACCAGTGAGAAAAATATGATTAGCAAGGTGTTGAAATAAGGAAATATGTGAAAAAAGTTTAAGTGAGCTCTGTGATGAGGGAGATGGGTGGGAGCTGTCCTCGTACAGACCAGGTTAGTGATGTGATGTCATTCTCATAAAAAACTTGTTTTGCTTGCATGTTGTGAGTTGGTGGTCTTGGCCCTTTTAATTAAGGATAATAATTCACGATAAAATGAGATTTTTTGTTGATCATCTTATGCAGAATGAGTGAATTCATTGGTTAAGAACCACTAACCTGTCCTCTCACCCCTAGGGTGTGAGCACTGAAAAGGATTAAGGCCCACTGTAGGGAAGCTTGCACTGAAGCTTGCACTGCCCTTTCCTCTGTTCTTTCTATTAAATAGAAGATTTTTAGTTCCCATGACTATCAATCTGGTGCTTTTCACAAGCACCAAATTCTTTTTAAGAAATTAAGATGACTTATTTTTAGAAATCCACTGGCCTAGAATACCGAAAGATTTTTTTTTTTTTTTGGTATGTCATGTTGGCAGACTCTATACATAGTATTTTTTTCTAATGAAGATTAGTTTGTTTTAATTTATGTTGAATTTAGTGGTCGATATACACTTTTAAAAATCAAGGACAGGTTTTTATATGCTTAGGTTTGCTTACTCAGTAGTAATTATAGAGTTTGGCAATGTTGAATCGTACATTTTATTAGAAATAATATCTGGCAACCCTGTGGACAGAATACTGCAATTATAAAGTGCTTTTTTTCATATTTAAAGGCTTTTAAATAGCTCTTATAAATGCTGAAGTGTCGTATTTTTTTTTTAGTATCTGCCAAATTGGTATTGTGTTTAATCTTGAAAATATATTTTGATTTTGTTAACTAAAAATAATTACAGAATATTAAACATTCTCAGTAGTTAAAGTTTTTTTTCCATTTAATTTGAGCTTTTGTTGTTACTAACAAATAATTTGTGGCACAGTTTCTTGCTTTCTTTCTTTCTCTCTTTCTTCCTTTCTTCTTCCTTTCTTTCTGATAGAATCTATGTACTTGTCACCTTAGTGTGCTAGAAATGTTCCACTCCGATCAAGGGTTTCTTTCTGGTTTTGTCTGTTCTCACCTGCTCCTCACTGTAAATCATGGAAATGTCAAGTGTAATGATTAATTAAGCTGCACGTGCAAGTGCTTTTTTTTTTCACCTGTCAAGCAGGAAAGAGGTCTTACAGCAAGATTAGAAGGTGCCAATTCACAGCTTTTACTTCAGACTGTCAATTGTATAGAAATATTTTATATTTAGATGCCTATCCAGAATATGCCATAGCAGGGTTTGTTTGGTTTAGAATTCTTAAATATTGTAAGATGCAATTATTATACCAAACCCTATTATTAAATCATTAAACTCCTAATTAGAGGCAAAGAGTGTATTCAGAATTTCTATGTAAATATTTTGGAATTTAGGGTTCATACTTTATACTTACCTTTTATTCAGATACTGCTAGTTGATTTAAGTTACTTAAAGTAAATATTTAAAAATGTTTAAATTGTGTGTGAGTGTGTGTATCATATACATCACGAGATTCATTCGCAATGAGGTTCTTTCTTTTTATAATATAACATGGGTTTAAATTTATGATGAAAAGATGATAGTGGGAACTACACATTTTTTCTTTGAGTAATGAAATTTTTCAGAATGTAATTTTACGCTTTTAATTTTTATGCTTTAATATTAAACAAGACTTGGAAAGCTTGCTCTTCCCACCCTAGTTCTTTCACCCCCAGCCCCCGATTCTTAAACCATCAGTAAAAGGAAAACCTCAAATTGTATAGTAATCTTAATCTATTATTAAAAGGTCCTAGAAAGGAAGATTACAAGGTAGATTCAGGTTTTGAATCGGTTTTGCCATTGGTTTAGCAGCGGGTGGGCAGGCAGATGCCTGCTCAGAGTAGAACCTATTGCCATTTTTCACCATTGATAGAGTAGCCTTTCAGAGTCAATGAGCTCTGTCAATGTGAGCTTGTCAAGGCTACAACTTCATAGACCTGAGAGGCGGTTTGAGAGGTCAGCCCTTTTCAGGTTTGCTGTGATGCAAATGAACTTTAATGCTTAAACAACTATTGGAATTTTTATGTCTGCTCCTTGTTCTTTTTTCTTCACAAAGTCATTGACGAGACATTCAGTGCTTTTTAAATTAGAAGTTGCATTGTGCTAAAGACCTAGTACAGATTTACGGAGGGCTGAAAGCAGTTAGATCATGTTCTTTTCATGGTGCGATTAGAATCAAATCGATTTCCCTACAGCCTTCAGCATTCAGATGGCAATTTTAACAAAGCTTGGGGGCTAGACAAGGGACAAAACGACTGAACTGAATGTTAATTACACTCTGCAGCCTTATTTTCTTTTGATTTGGGGCTGACTGGCAACTAAATTAACAAAAAGTGTGACCATAACTGCTGCCCTATTTTCATTTAAAAGGAGAGCTGCCTCTAAAAGGCTATCTTTACAAAGAAACAAGTGAGGTCTGCTGATCATTGTTAGCAAGGGCACTTTTTTCCCTTTAAAATTCTTGCCCCCCAAAAACGTTAAAAAAATAATGTAATAAATTAGTCATTGTTGTATTATTATCCAAAGAGTTAGTTGGTTTTCTGATTTTTATGACATATACTTGGAGAATGTAAGGTGGTAGTGATAATTCACTGGTAGTTATGAAATATAGTTGGCACCTATGTGCCTGTGATGTGTCTTCAGCATGTTCAACATGCTGAAAGGTAATATGGTAAGTAGTTAATAGTAGCTACTATTTTCTTATGTAACATTTGACTATTGAAAACCAGCTTGATCCTACAGTTTCTCACCTAGCTCATCCTTGCTTGATATGCAGTTTTTTACAATTTGATTATTAGTACTTATTTAGTTGTGCCACATTAATAGTGTTATATGCTTTTTTCCTTCCCTTGTGAGGAAGCTGCAGCTGTACCAAGTTGCATTTGATTCTTGTGGAAACACTGTCCTTTTTGCACCTGCAGCTGTGTCAGTCTCATCCTAACACCTGGCACCATGAATTATCCTTTCCTTTATTCTTATTCCCAAGCAAGAAACATTTCGTGCTGTATAGTACATATTGCAAAAGTGAAGTAATCTTAAACATAAATTTCTCAGTTAATTTCTTTAACAGTAGTGTTGATTAAGAGTTTGATATTGTTATCATTCTTGTGGGTTTAAATACAGATTTGCTCCTGTTTTAATACCTAATACTTACATATTATTTCAGTATTGCAAATCTATTTTTGAACTAAATGGGAATTTAAATTTATATCATTTGGTAGATAACTAGCTTTTTAGAGTTTGATAGTTTTAAATCAGAGGTTAGTTTGAAACAGGAATCAATGCTAAAAACAAAACCTATCTTTATTAGAGTACTGTTTGTATTTAGATTACTATTTAATGCTTGACTGTTGATAGTGTTATAGGCCACCCTATATTCAGTCACTGTCTTATACCTCTCTTCTCACACAAAAAGCAGCTGCAAAACAGTTTTTCTAAAACCAGTCAAGAGTAAACTTTTTTCTCATTTGTCTTCCAGACACGAAGATCGATTGAGAAGTTATTAGAATGGGAAAACAATAGGTTATACCACAAGGTGAGTACCACAGGGAGCAGCTTCGTACTGTTGGGGTCTGAATTGCACAGTATGGAAACAGATGCTTTTGTTGAACTAAAAATATGAAAGGTGGACAAATGGGTTAGTCTGTTTGCTGCAATAAACTAGAGCTCATTTTTCTTCTTTTACTCTCCTTCTTGTCTAGCTGTGCTTGCACTGGAGACTGAGCAAAAGGAAATGTGAAACGAATAACATGATGGAATATGTAAGTTAAAGGGCTGTTTTGTGAGTTTCTCTATTAAATGATCATTTATTTTGCTTCTGATCTTATTCTTTCCATGATTATTAATCAGCAAAGGTGTCAGGAGCTTAATCTCCTGAGTGCAAGGATTTTCTACGGTTCACAGATGCATGGTTTCATGTGCAAGACTGATTTATAAAGTTATGAATGACTTGAAAACAAGGCTTCACTGTGTTCTGAAAAATAATAAATTAATTGCCAAGATAAAATAGCCTGAACATGTGTTGATGGAGTGTGAAATTTTAGGTGCTGTATAAAGAATAACCACAACTTTGGTTACGCAGCAAGTCAGATATGGCTTTTTTATATAATGCTAATCAAGTTTCCAAGTGTGGAAGAAAACCTTTCAGCCAAGCCATTGGAGCTTAAGAAACCTTTAGCCTTTATAAATTTTAACTACCCATACCTCAGTGGCCTTTAAAGGATCTTTTAAAGTGTTATTAGAATATTGTTTTATAAAAATTATCCTTAAAGTATGTAGGAGGTGGGATTTTGCCTGTCCTTTGTTTATTCTTTAAAAGATATCCAAGTTGGCACATGTATATAATGAATTTGAGAACTTGATTTAGTATGATATTTAATCTACCGACTCTTTAATTTACTTGAACAATTTTTCTCCTTTTGAAAAATTCAGAATAATTATGAATTTTTTTTTATTTTGTCTTGAGCTTGGGTGTTTTATTTTAAATATCAAAAGTTATTATATTACCAGAAAAACATCTAAGGAAGAATTGATTGTTGAAATTAAAGTCATAGTCTTTGTGAAGTGCCTGGCACATCATTTCTGACAAATTCTATTTGATACAGTTAAGCTATCAGAGATAGTGTGTATGTGTATAAAAGATTGATTAAAACAGTGCTTAAATAGTTGGAAATTGTCATAATATCATTTTGCTCTATAGTATTTACCCTTTCTTTCATTATCATACAATCAAATCCCATTTTTAGCTTTGAACATAAAAGACATCTTAAAAATACCTCTTTTTTCATAGAATAGGTCTATATTCAGTGAACCAAATAATTTAAAATTTATCATTATCTTTTATATAAAACATGTTACTTTATACTGATGAGAAAGACACTTGATACTTTATAATAATAATGAAATATAGTCAAATAACTTGTTTTTAGATTGACCTATGAAAATGCTAGTCTTATATTTTCATCAGAGATAGTTTATGTGTTTTGGCGGGAGGAATGGATATGTAAGAAATTTAAAGCATTTTGTGAAAAAATTTCTCTATTTATAAGCTCAACCACTAAGCTTAAAAAACTAAGGCTTTTAAAATTTATTTTTGCACATTTCTAAATTTATATTGGAAAGAAAAACAAAAGTTATTCCCAATGCAATTATTTCCAGATAGAACTATAGGAATGTCGTTCATTCATAAAATATGCTTCTTATATTCATCTTTGTTTTATATTTTTTTAACTAAAAATAAAATAATTTACTAACCTTTCAAAACATCATGAGCTGTGTGCTTTGTTTGTAAAGTAGTTTCCTTTAATTTTTTATGAGTTTTTAGATAATTAAACTCTACTATTAAAACCATTATATTTTCCATACCATCATAGAAGATACTCAGAAGAATAATACAATTTTTTAAAAAATTGTTAAAAATTTATATTTTTCTAAACATTTCAATATATATATATTTGTGGTAGTTGAATGGGAGAATAGCATAATTGCAAAAACTTTCTAACAAATAATTTTAAAAACTTAAGATAACAAATAATCTAGTAAGGAGAGAGGGCTTCTTATTTAATGAATTGGGGTATTCTTATCATGTATTTCTCTTTGACCTAAACTTTTCTTTAGCTTACAGATATTTCACTTGTTAAAGGAAAATAGTTCTCCTTGACTATATTTTGAACATTGGAGATAATCTAGAAAAATATCAACTTGATACCAATTTTTCTTTTATTCTGATTGGTAGAGCACCATGATTTAGAAGGAATGCAACAAAGTGGCCAATTTCTATGCATTATATTCTTTAAAAAATAATGCAAATATGGCCAAAGATAGCATTTATTTTCCGTTCTGTCATATACACTGTAAAATGTAATGCCTACATCTAGGAGCTGAAACTGTGTAGACTGCTTGATTGGGGACACGTTTGAAATATAGAAGTATTTATTGAATGTTGACTTATAAGTAGTTTAAACATTTAATTATCAATTTTTAGAGACAGTTTCTGAAAAAGAAAATGAGTTCACCAAACTTGGAAATGTTCAAATCAAATAATTTTTTTTGTTAGCACCTATTTTATACAGAGTTGGAAAAGGGAAATAATTGATTGGAATTTAAGACAGTTCAAGTTTGGAATAAAAATTAGCTCTGGTCTTTCTGTGTTACTGTGTTCTCTCTTTGTTGATTTTCCTTTAGTTTTTTTGTTTTGTTTTTTAATATATTTTTATTGCTTTCAGAGAGGAAGGGAGAGAGAGATAGAAACATCATTGATGAGAGAGAATCATTGATTGGCTGCCTCCTTCACACCCCCTGCTGGGGATCAATCCCACAACCCAGGCATGTGCCCTTGACTGGAATCGAACCTGGGACCTTAAGTCTGCAGGCCAGCTCTCTATCCACTGAGCCAAACGGGGTAGGGCTCCTTTAGTTTTTTTTGTAAAAGGTCCTTGGGAACAAATTTCAACCTTTAATTTTGTTAACTTAAGAAAAGGACTTTTAAAAAATTAAGAGAGAAGGGATCAATACCCTTTATATAGAGATCACATATCCTGCTACAGTAAAATGAGAGCAACTCTAGAACCTAATGACCCATGGAATTGGGTTAGATGAATGGGTGGAAGCTGCAGCCACATAGTATAGTAGAAAAGGCAAGACTTTGCAGTTAAGAATGACCTTTGTTCAAATAGTGACTTAACATCTATAGTGTTACCCTTCTCAGATCATCAGTTTCCTCATCTGTAAAATGAGGATGATAATGTTTGCCTCATAAGAAAAGTTGTTGGGATTAAATAAATCCAGATAGTGTGAAACACTTATCATTAGTAAGTGCTAGTTCTGTTTTCTCCTTTATTCATGCATGTATTCTGTGTGTCAGAGGCACTATCAAAATTGTTTTAAATATTGGAATATAACTGAAGTTTTATTAAGATGAAAATCTATTTAAATATTTTTAAAACTTTTTCTTTTCTCCTTCTACAGGTCATCCTCATAGAATTTTTACCAAAGACACCAATTTTTCGACCAGATTAGCATTTACTTTATTTATAGAGACTTTCCAAGTATGTTGTCTTTCCAATGGTGCCTTGCTTGGTGCTCTTCTGGTGGTGACATAACATTGGTTCTACAGAATCGTGTGGTGTTTTTTTCTTTTTTTTTTTTTTTAATAACCGCATGTTCTAAGTGTGCATTTTTGTCCAACTTTGCAACAGTTATTTCATACAGATGTTTAATACTTAAGTTATTGTGCTCTTTTCTGTTATGTATTCTGATTTTCAAGGTTACTTTTTTGTATTATCAAAAAAAAAAATACATTTGAACTTAGCATAAAAAATGGCCAGCCTTTTTTATTTTATCACCAAGGTATACACAGTCTTTTATTTATTAATTCCTTAATATAGAAAAACACCTTTGTAAGACTCTACTCATCATTTATAGCAAGCACACTCTTTGTATTCTTTCTCACCCTTTTTAAATTTAACATAGTTATTCTTTTAAAATAGTAAGTTTTCTTTAATAGCTTTTTGTCATTTAACATATTCTTTCTCATACAATTCCTAATGCTCTGTTTACAGCGGAAATATTTGTAACATTATGAAGACGTATAAAAAAGTTTTGAAAGGATTTCTGGTTTCAAAGGTAGCAAGGCAGAATTAAATTATTTTTTATTAGAATAGACAAATCAGTGAATGGTATGCATGCATCTAATGGTTACTAGAGCTCAGGATCATAAAAATTTAGTATCATTACAATCTGTGTATATTTTTTATCAAGATGATAATGCCTTATTTGGGTTATTTTTTGTTTATCAAATCTTATATACAAAAGTATGGAAATACTCCTTTAAAAAGTTTCTAAGGAAAATATTTCTCCTAATCTAACACAGTTGTAGAATGGATATATGTTTCTAAAAAGTTTTGAAAGAAAGTAAAAATTCTAGAATTAAAAATAAGCTGGTGTTTAATACCCGATTGATATTTAGAACAGATTATTACTAAAAAATGGAAGGCGTATTTAGTACTGTTTTTATCTACTAGTTTGCTTTTGGTCCAGTTATGTGTACTTTTTTTTTTTTCATTGAGAAGGTGACATTTAAGTTTAAATTAGATCAGCTTGTTTCTTTTACATATATACAAACATACATTTTTTTTTCTCTTTTTGGTTGTACATATGTCCATGCATTTTAAAACTTTCTGAATGGCCTATGTGTAAATTTTTGTTTTTATAAACTTGAAATTATACAAATTTTAATGTGTGTCAAGAACTTGTTCCATACAGCTGTGGTATCGAGCAATAATGTGAATAACTTTTGAAATTATATAAACTGTGCTTAATAATTTGTATTAAGAATTGGTACCACTATACCTTTTTTCCTTGTATTAAATTTTTTAAATACCAGTTTCATTAATTTATATACCTGTATTTTTTTTAAAGTATTTCTTTGTACTTCTCCAAAGTACTGTAATTCTATATAAATTTGAATAGTTGAATGCCAGTATTATATTTCATATATTGGACATTTGGAACTATCTTAAAAAATAAGATTTTTTTTTTTTGTATGAGAATTATTTCTTTCCCTTGCCCCCTAAAATACTTAACAACTTGAATTTATAAAACATTTTTCTTCTGAAGAGCTCAAAGTAGAAAGAATCTAAACACTTCTCACTTCATTTACCTTATGTCTAGGGTGTGGCCTGACACCTTAAAGTAGTGCAATTAAAAGGTAATGCTATTCAAAAGCTCTAGTATTTCTCTGGTTTCAGTGTGGAAAATTGTATGGGGAATGCTAAATCTGTCTCAGTATTCAGCAAGAGCAGAAAAATATGACTATAGACTATGCAACATAGTGTTCCATATCTAAAATTTTATAAATTTGTAGAACAGCATATTGATTAGCTTTATAAGAAGAATTGTACCTTTTGAGACATAATTTTTCTCCTATTATTAGTCTTCTGTAAGTTATAATTTTTATTCCCTTAAGAATATTTAATAGTAAGATAGTTTCATAGTTGATAATATTAAGTATAAGATTTTTAAAAGCCTTAATATTCTTAAAGACTAGAGGCCTGGTGCATAGATTCATGCACTGGTGGGGTCCCTCAGCCTGGCCTGCGCCCTCTTGCAGTCCGGGTCCCCTTGGGGGATGTTGGACTGCTGGTTTCGGCTCGATCCCCACAGGCCAGGCCAAGGGACCCCACCAGTGCACGAATCCATGCACTGGGCCACTAGTCTATATATATAAAAGCCAAAGCAACTGAACAACCAGTCGACCAGTCGCTATGACACGCACTGACTACCAGGGGGCAGACGCTCAACGCAGGAGCTGCCCCCTGGTGGTCAGTGTGCTCCCGCAGCGGGAGTGCTGCTCAGCGAGCTTACCGAGCAGCAGCAGCGGCAGCAGGCACAATGGGGCCGGATGAGAGGAGCGGCGCAGGCTCCTCCCGGGCCACCTGCTGCTTTGCGCACTACTACATCCCTTGGGGGATGTCAGACCGCCAGTTTTGGCCCTATCCCTGAGGGATCCCGGATTGCAAGAGGGTGCAGGCTGAGGGACCCCACCGGTGCGCAAATCCGTGTACTGGGCCTCTAGTCCTATATAATAAAGAGTTAATATGCTAATTACACCAAACAGCAGAATGACTGTCTGGACATCCTTCCGGATAAAGCCAGGGCTGCAAGGGTCAGCTGAGGCTGCGAGGGGCTGCGAGGGCCGGCCGAGGCAACTGGGGCTGCGAGGGCCAAGCCCCTTGCACAAATTTTGTGCATTGGGCCTCTATATATATATATAAAAGCCTACGTGACCATTTGACCGTTTGCTATGATGTACACTGACCACCAGGAGGGAGACGCTCAACGCACAGACATGGAAACATGGAATAGACCAGCCGTGGGCAAACTACGGCCCGCGGGCCGGATCCGGCCCGTTTGAAATGAATAAAACTAAAAAAAAAAAAAAGACCGTACCCTTTTATGTAATGATGTTTACTTTGAATTTATATTAGTTCACACAAACACTCCATCCATGCTTTTGTTCCGGCCCTCCGGTCCAGTTTAAGAACCCATTGTGGCCCTCGAGTCAAAAAGTTTGCCCACCCCTGGAATAGACTGATGAATATCAGGAGGGAGTGGGGAGGGCAGGAAGAGATTAACCAAAGATCTTATATGCATACTAGAGGCCTGGTGCACGGGATTCCTGCACTGGTGGGGGGCGTGGCCGATGGGGATCAGCCTATTGTGGGAGCACTGCTCATCCCGGTCAGCCCAGCCAAGCAGCTTTAGATCTGCCCTCTGAGCGGCCGCTCCCTGGTCTGGCATCTTCTGTGGAGCCGGAGCACTTGCCTCTCCAGGGGACCTGGTTGGGGCCGGGCCCAGGGACAGTAGCACTGAGAGGCGGCAGAGTAGGCCTCAGTCTGGCGGCGGCCATGAACCCGCCTCCCAGCCTCTTGGGTCAGGTCTGTGAGTCCAGGTGGTGGCAGCGCTGCGCAGCCTGCGGGCATCTGGAGGAGGCAGCAGGGAGTGAGGAGGCGATGATCGCAGCCTGGGTTCCTGCCCGTCAGCCTGGGGTTCGCAGTGGGAGCAGCCGCTCATCCCAGTCAGCCAAGCGGCGCTCCCACTGTGGGTAGCGCACTAATCACCAGGGGGCAGCTCCTGCGTTGAGTGTCTGCGCCCTGGTGGTCAGTATGCGTCATAGTGACTGGTCGACCAGTTGTTCGGTTGCTTTGGCTTTTATATATATAGATTCCCTAGAAATGTGCACTCTTATAATTTCTAATGTATATATAGAAAAAAAACCTGAATGCTTAATATGTGGTATTACCATAAGTCAGTTATGCCTTGAGCTTGAGTATCTGGGCTAGTAGCCTCCAGTATAACCCCTCTGGCTTATCCTTTCTTGAGTCATGAATATAAGTGCCCATGTTACTGGAAATTAGAAATATTTAAAATGATGATTGTTCTTCTGTTCATGTTTTCTGCCTTAAAGTTTGTGAAGCATGAATCATAGGTACTTTTAGAACTGACCATGGAAAAATATTGGCAGAAAATTTAATGTATAGATTTTACATAGGCTAAATGAACAACTTAGGATCTTTGTTTATATATTACTGGCATTTTACAATCAGTCACCATTCCTTTGTAGAAACATTCTTTTATCAAATAATGTACCTAGCAAACTCTATTCAATTTAATACATGAATTATATATATTTGGCTTATATATATATACTCCAAAACCTAATGACAATAGTAAAACTTAAGGGCCCATTTAGCTTCTAAGGTAGATATTGCCCCACCCTCATAAGAGGCTCACCTTACCCATATAAAATGGTCATCAGATGCTTTATTAAGATTCTTTAATGACTGGGTTTCATTAATTTAAAATATGAACATGTGATTTAGGTCTAAAATCAGTAAGTGTTCAAACTTTGAATAACAGTAAACAATGATTTCATTTTCTTAGTATAAAAACTAGTTTTGTAATTGAATAATTTTAAATCAAGAACAACCACAACTTTTTCCATAGTTGTGTTTTCAGTGTTATTTGTACAGAGCTTCTGACTGCTTCTTTATATTAGTAGACACAAGGTAATGGTATAAAATTTTGATATTTCTTATCAATTTCTGGTTATAAAAAATGTTAGAGTAACATGAACAGTTGGACCCACAGCCACATGAGTTCACACTAGTTTTATATAACATTGTGTACAGACTGTTTCAGCATTTATGGTATTCTGCTTCACAATTATAACATTTAGCTGCATACCTGATTTTCACTATACATGTTTGCTTTGGCTCAACTGTTTGTCAGTAGTACTAAATCAAAAGTACAATGTGTTTAAAACTGTCTTTAGCTGAATTCCAGCATCTAGTCCTGAGGCCTCTTTCCTTCTCCTATCCTACTGAAGCACTGTGGGTCCTTTTGCTGCCCTCTTGATGTCCAGAGTCTTCCCTCAGGCAGGGACATAGTCCAGAATTGCCTTTCTACTATCCTTCCCCAAAGCTCTCAGTAAGAATGTTAATTCTTTCTCATTCTTAGCTAAGTGTTCAGAAGGCCAGTTAAAGTGAGTCAGTCACATTAAGTGATGAAGAGCTGACACTTTCAATTCTGCTAAGGTGGTACTTGCATTTTTAAAATGGAGTGTCTTAACTTAAATTTCCAATTTGGTGCAGTGGTGTAATTGGCGTTTTTCTTTTCAACAGTTCCTATCAGTCCAGACATTTCAGGGAGGAAGTAATAGGATAGTTACATATGGGGCTTCTCAAACCACCATTTCTGAAGAAAGCTGATTTATATGTAGTATTAGGGAAGAAAGAATAGATTAAAGGCCAGTCCTAAACCAAACTATTAATTATCCCATAATAGTTTGTGTTTACCCTTTTAAAAAGGATATAAAGTAACTTTTAATTTTTGTATATACAGTAGCCAACTATTATTTTTAGGAACATATAAATTGATATTTGAAGGAGATTTGTCTTTAAATTTTGAGTTATCTTGTTCTGTACTTTTACAAAGATTTTTAGATAGTAACTTAAGAGAAGCCTATATATTGTTTATGTTAGTCATATTTCAGTGTACTTGTTTCTGCAATAGGGAACAA